AGCACACATGGAACAGAGCCACTAGCCTGGTACATATTATCTACTCTTAATCAATCTTTACTTAATTTGCAGAGACACAGTCAGTTATTGCATATCTAGTCCTCTCTTTCAGTTACTTTCAGCAGCAGATGCTTCCAATATGCCCTGTATAGTTTATCCCTATTTGATCTCTGATCGCATCTTTCCAGTTCCCTTGTTACATCAATCTCTGCTTCAGTGCAACCCGTGTGCACCTTTCTTTTTTTTGTTCATTTATAGAACCTCTTCTCTATCTCTGAACAAGCTATGCTGCAACCCCATTTAGATCTTATTTGTTGGCTCCTCTACAGCATCATTCGCACTACGAAAAATGGAAAGAGAAAACATGTATTAACCAATTGAGAAACAAGTTCAATGCAGTACAAGTATTCCCATTCTGCGCACACAGGAGATCTACATAAGAAGCCAACCCCCCATGAGGAATTTGTGTAACCCTTTTTTGTCCACTATCGACTGTGAGCTAAAATTGTGACCCACTGTGCACAGTCGACGGAAAGTTCCACTCTTCCACACAACTAACAATTTTCGCCACAGGAAAAAAGTGGAATCCAAAGCGTAAGAAGAAAAAAAACCCCTAACGAGGTCCAAAGCTATTTTTAGAGCTGTGCGGATAAAGAAGACGACAAAAAAAAAGTGGCAAATAATGCAAATATCTAAGCATGCAAGTGGCTCGGGGAAACGCCTCAACAAACTTTGACTTCAGTGCGATATTAAGCATGCGCCATGTGGTACAGCCAAAAAGAGAGAATAAAAAAGAAAAAGAAAAAAAAGAACAAAGAAGCGAACAGAACCGAACCGAACCGAACAGAATGAAAGCAGCTGCAAAAGGAGCGCAGACAAAAGCGCACAAGGATAGGACTATGCGAATGATGATGGAGTAACTGCAATTAGGCATAATAAACAAAAAGTTACAGGCATCGAAACGGAGAGGGTGTGCGGGGTGAGAGGGAGAGTGTGCTGCTGAATGGTGTTTGGTGGGGTGGGGGGGGTTACATTAAAACTACATAAACGCAGACTTAATTGCGGGTTTTTCAAACGAACGAACCCCGGCCTGAACTCTGTAGCGAGTTCCTTTTTTGCGCACTTGAATCGCAGCTCTACTATATACTATAGGGGTTACTTCTGTTGCTGGATCACCAGTTGTTACAAAAAAATGGCTACACATGGCCTCTACCAGCCTCCTGCCTCCTGCTTCTGCCTCCTGCCTCTGCCTTTTCCTACCCCCTTGTCAAGGCGCACCCAAAAAGCGGACAGCAAAAAATAGAGCAACTATCTGAACAGCAAAATGGTTGTCGTCTATGTTTTTTTGTTTTTTTTTCTTGTGTTGTTATAGCTGAAAGTCAGGGCAGGGCAGGGGAGTGGGCAGCCATTTAACAGCAGCCCAACAGAAATCCCCAGAATTTGTATCTAATAAACTTCCATATGCAAGCATGCAGCCAGCCAGCCAGCCAGCCAGCCAGCCAGCCAGCCATCCATTCCGTAGCTGAGTTTATTGGGCCTGAACTGTTTGATTGAGTTCAAACCAGACATATGAGGGTGCCCAGAGCTATGGCAGTTTATTGCTGGATTTTCGGTGGTGGTTCGCTGGTACGCTCTGCCACTGTTGCACTTACAAGTTGATTATGTTGATTTTTTAACCATTCTTTTTTTTCCAGCTGACTGACGGACTGTTCAAGTGCTGCCCAACGCGTTGAGTGATTTGGTTGAGGCTTGGGGTGGGAGGGGGTACTTTTTATTATTAAATATTGATATGATATAAAGTCAGAGATATGTAAAAGATACATCAGATAAGCTGACTTAATTAAGAAACGTTTCGGGGTGCTATGGCAACCATTTTTGATAGAAGTGCTGCAAAAGATGGGCATATGAGGTTTACATTTTTGAAATGCCTTTTTTAATGCTTGAATATAATTTTATTAGGCAGCAGATGTTGCCACTTTGCGCCTTTGTTGTTAGAAAATAAAGGGAAGTATAATGTTTTCGGTCAATTAGTAATACAAAAATTAATTGTTCTTTTTTCATCTTTATGATAGAGTTAATATAAATGGGTAGAAAAAGGTATTGTACATCTATCATGTACAATTAGAGAAGAGCTAAAAAAATCCACAAAAATTAAAAACCAACTAATAATAATTCTAGGAATCCATATCTACTTTGTTACCGAATATGCCTAAAAAAATTACATATTTAGTGATATAAAACTACCAATAAAAGTGCCTGAGAGTTTGTCTTATCAACAAAACAAAAATATTGTTATTATGTAGCATCAATGTCAAACGATTTTTCCTTTTACAGGTCAAAAGTAGTAGCTTGGACTCTAGCATTAAATCTGAAGGTATATCAGGTGTCCCGGCATTTTCGCCTTGTAGAATTTAGTCTGCCAAAATAAAAATCTTTCTATGAATTTACATTATTACTTAATAATAATAGAAAATTTGTACAGCCAAAGAAACTTTGTTCTTCTATGAAAAGCAAACATAAGAACAACAGTTCCTGAACAGTACCCTGTACAATATACATACGTATATAAATTTTCCTGAATTTAAATAAGTTTTTGCACTACCCAAATCTATCTAACTTTATTTAAAGCATGCAAAAATCATAAATGATGTCTGTGCATTTTATGTACCACATTACTTTGCCCTATGAATAATTTGCATGCATTTTATTTGGTAGGTATTTTATTTTATGCTTGTCCCGCTGCAGCTCGCACTCGCAAACCCCCCAACTAAACCAAATAAAATAAAGTAGAAAAACAGTAAACAAAAAAAAAAAGGGAACTAATAATAAACAGCAGTGAAGAGCTCTTCAAGTGACAACAAAAGGCAAATATTTACATTAACCAATGTACATTAACCAGGAGAGTGGAGAGCGAAGGACTCTCCACCGCAGGACCACCACAACGGACCAGAGAACGCAATTCCTCAGAGGGCACACACACACAAAAAAAACTCCTCTCACCCGCTAAATCTTTTATGAAAATATATGCAAGTTGGCAACGCGACTCAAGCACTTTAGTGGGCTGCTGCTGCTGCCGCTGCTGCAGGACTCCAGGCTTCAGCTCCTGCTACGCTTCCGCGTACAGCAGGATATAGCGAGGGCAGCAGCCGCAAAGAGCTCTGTGCAAATAAACAATTAAAATGTCACAATGATTGCCGGCTTACCCGTGTCAGGAAATCAAAAAACCAAAAAATACAACCAAAAAAAAAACCACAAAATAGAAGAAAGAAATTGGTAAACGCTTCTGTGGAAACCCCCAAACCAGTAGAGGGCTCCTCAAACCCTTGGAAGGACTTCTGAATATTGTGTTTGATTCAAAAGCGCATTTTACAGGGGGGTGGGAGAATTCACTCCGAGGTACCAAGGGAGTGAGAAGCAGCAACCACGTGGCTGGTGGCTGTTGCTGTAAGACTGAAGTAAGATTTACCCCCCAGCAAGGATCAGCAGACGACTGTGGACGGTGCTCACTCAGGCGTAGAAACCACAAAGGCGAGGGCGAGGGCGAGAGCGAGTCCTGTCAAGGCGTTGGGTCTCTAACCAGCCGCAGAAATCCCAATTAAAAATAAAGAAAGCCAGCAAGGCAAAACGAAAGTTAAACAGGCCAAAAACCTCATGTTAAGTGAAGTGAAGCTTCCCGAGTTTCCCATCCTTTTGAGGAGAATCCTTCCTTGCTTGCTTCCTTCCATCCTGCTGGGCGTCTGTGACATTAACAATTGATAGACGACAGACGACACCCGCCAACAGGCGACAACAACTGAACATTTGACAGACTGTCGCGCTCCGTTGGCAGCTTCTAAGGACACTTTCCATTTCATTTCACACACACACGTCTGATCCTTAGTGAAGTTTGCCTCCGGGGCCAACAAATCCCGAGCCCAGTCATGGGCCGTGCCGTGCCGTGTCGTACCGTGCCCCTCCTCGCTCGAGTGGCTCCCTTTTTTCGGGCTGCTGTGTGTCCGTCTGCGCCACTGGGGCAAGTGGCAAGCAAGCAGTCGAGTGCCTGGCTTAGCCGCTAGTTGGCATTTAACAGTCGCTGGCTTAAATAATTCAGTTCTGTGGGTTTCTGGGCAAGTTCCCCAGGGGGACTAGTGGCTTTTTTCGGCTAGAGGCGTCTGAAGGGAGAGACAGACAGTTGCCTTCGCAGTACGGGCGTGAAATACATCTCAATGTAATTGTATTGAGTAAGGTTGGAAAACTAGCCAAGGGTTTAGTGGTGTAAGTTGCCTCAATTCAAGTCGGTTTCGCGCGTTTAGTTATGGCAGATTAATATTATGTGCTAAATATATATTTTGGGCTTTCTTTTCGTCTCTCTATTTGCACAACTGATTGACTTGTGTTTCTAGAATGATGGAACGAATTTATTACTTTTGTTTTATTTTTCGAATATGGGAGTTTGCCCCATTTTTGGAAGGTATTGAGCGCATTTATTGATAGTAAAATAGTGAATCTACGAAACGATTATAAGCTGAAAATTGTGAGCCCAATCGGTTCTTTATAACTGATAACTGAGCTACATAACTGGCATTATTTTATATATTTATTGGCGCTTATATCTTCAGATTTTCCTCACCAAATTAATTTTCGGCAACGTTATCCATATTATAGCAACCATGATCGTATTCGTCTAGCAAAAACCTAGATTATTTTAGTATTTCGATGGAAATTTATATAAAATTAAAAAAAAAATGTATATATAAAATTATAAAAAGTGTGTGTATCTTCCTAGTTAAAAACTATTCCTGATTATGACCAGTCCCAATTCAAACTCGCTAAAAATCTACATAAATTCCATTTGGCTTATATGTACATATAATCCTTGCTAAAACTTTTCATAATTTCCCAAACACACACAAAATCAATTTCAATATTGAAAATCTAACAAAACTGCCAAACCGTTGCATTTTGCACAAACAACAATTAACATACAAAGATGAAAGGTGTGTAAATATATTCAGACTTACCTCAGAACAAGGATGAACTTTCGCCAATCGGCGGACGGAAAGATGTTCGTTTTATTTGCCAGATGCTGATGCTCCTCGAAATGTTTACCCGAAGCAATTAATATCCCTTTTTTGATGTCTTGAGCTTGTGTTAATATTGAAATGGGATTTGAGAATTTCTTTGGCACTTCAAAGAGTCTGTTTTTTAGGGGCAACGTTGCTCTACGTATCACCCAGCCAGCGTATCGGCTACAGGTCAGATTCTTGTTTGTTTTAGGGATTATCTCCCACACTCGAACACACTGTGCCACACTGTGGGTGTGTGTGTTTGTGAGACGCTCGCTCACACTACTGCCACACAGAGACGCTCGCTTCCGTGCACGGAGGAGGAGTCCTTCAAGGAGCTGGTAATGGTAGTGCTGCAGCCAGCCAGCAGCGAGAATATACTTTTTGCGACCGCGCGTTCAAGACGTCAATTTCGTAATGCAAATATTTGATTTATGAATTCAAAGTAAATTAAGGCGAAAACAAAAAGCATCAGCAGCAACAGCAACAGCCAGAGAGAGTGATGTGGGAGACGGCAGGATGTATGACGGACGAGTCCTGTGGCCCGCGTGCCAGAGTCAAATATGGCGACGCTAAGCACGATAACGGCAAACGACAAACGGCAGACGACAAACGGCCAACGGTAATTTTATCCAACAAGAGCGCGCCTGCTCTCTTGTCCTCGCTCTAGCTCTGACTCTGATTCTGTCTCTGTCTCGCTCGCCCACTCTCTCCTCTCGTTTGGTGTTGGTGTGGTGTCGTCCTGCCGACGGCAAAGTCAAAGCAATAAAAAGCACATAACGCGATTTGATGCGCGCGCTCTCTCTCTCTGTCGCTCTCCCGCCGCCAAACTAACTGCCGTTATGTTTCAGGGCGACGAGCTGGCTGCCGCTGCCTCTGCCCTGCCTGCCTGCCTGCCTGCTCGTAGCACACACGAAACATCATTATCATTTGATCCCCTCCCCACCCCTGCCCCGCCACTGTTCCTGTCCCATTCGCACCCATGGCTTACGGATTTTTCGGTGGTGTCAAATGTGTGTGAGCGGGAGGCACACTGTGTGTGTGTGTGTGTGTGTGTCAGAGTGTGCGTGATTTTAACGCCATCATGCTCATCATCGTCATCATCTGCTACGCGCGGGGTTCGGGGCCTAGATGCAGCAGCTGCTGTCGCTGTTCATAGTAATGGTATTCCTGAAAGATATGCGGGATTGCTTTGTAGTTATATTCCATACATATATGGAACAAGCAGAGTGTGATAGTTTAACCATGAGAAAATTAAATGCGCAACGAAAGGAAATCGAAGTCTAATTTGCATAACTTTATCATTGATACTAAGGGTATTCCTGAGAGATATACGACACTGAATTTAATTTGTATTCCATTTAATACGCAGAGTGTGATAATAAAATTATGTATAGGAAAATTAAATAATATTTCAACAACAATAAAATTAAATATCCAGAGAAGAAAAATCAAAGTCTAATCAAAAACACATACATATGTATGTATGTAACTATGATATTATAATAACTAATCTAAATTCCAATCAATTGAGATAGCTTGGAATCTATATGTTTCCTTTACATTTACAGATATATTTGGAAATATCTGAATTTATAGATTAGACATTAATTAATGAATCATTAATTCGTAACCATATTTAATTTGTATATTCTAAATCAAATCTCTCTTGCCGGCATACCCTCAATGCTGACTGTCCTTTTACTAAGCATTTGCCCCTACATAACCTCATCTCCTCCTAACGCCCCCTGGAGTCATCACCCATGCCCTGCCCTGCCCTGTCACCCCCCTGAAGAGCAGAGTACATATTTGTACTGCAATTTGGCTGCGTCGCGTCGCCCCGCTCTGCCGTTGACTGCGCTGCCAATGCTTCTGTGATTTGCCTCTTTTTGCGCTCTCATTTACACAGGTGAGTATTTTCCTACTTTTTGCCAGTATTTCTCTGGTTTCATTTATGTTTTTATTATTTTTTTTTGGGTGCCCCCCCTATATGGTGCGCTCGCTCCGTCTCGCTCACCCGCTGGGCCATTATCGGAGCAGAAATGCTCTATGGAATCGCATTTTTGTGTAGTTTTCATCGGTACGGGGTCCTGTGAAATATGCTACGCAATGAAATTTTCCTCCTTCTGGATTCCATGACAACCAAAACACACATATGAGATGGATGGATGGATGGATGGGTCTTTGTTATTTTGTAATGGAGATGCTGTGGGAAAGAGAGAGAGAGCACGTAGGGAGCGAGCAGGAGAAAATAGGGGAGGAAGAGAGAGAGCGGGAGAATGTGTGGCAAAAAGGTGAAACGATTGAGCACCCTGGGAGATTTTTTAATCAAATAATTACTGTAATTAGATGCAAGGCAAAATGTCAAAAAAGAATTGCACACAAAAATTCCCAGGCGGTAAGGGAAGGCAGGACTAGGACTACGCGCTGAGAATTTACAATTCAGCAAAGGGACTACGACGAGTACTCGATGTGGAACAATCCAAGAGAATGTTTTATGTTCATTTTGTAAGAGTTGGCTGTACGTTCAAGTGTTGTATGGAGCAGAAACTGGCATGGTTTCACTTTGGAAACGTCCAGAAATAACATCATTACGCGTCTGATGCTGATTTAATTAAATCTGCAATACCACAATCGAAGATATGGCTTAAAATATATGTAATATGATGAGGTGCCTGCAATTTAATCGTATTCATGGATTTACTCTTTTTTATTAGCTTTTATTATGAAGATTCTATGATCCTTTATGGAGGTTTAAAGCTAAAAGGAGTTCGTATTTAATATCTCTAATAGTTAATTAAATTCCAATAACTTTAGATGATTTTGGATCTTTGCCTTTCCCCTTTTTGGCTATTTTTGCGATCTTTGCTGGCCTATTATTTCCATTTCCGTATTCAAAAAATTGTTACTTCCAGAAGTCTTTCTTTAGAATATCCTCTCTCTCGGATAATATAAAGCCCATTCAAATACAGATACATAAGTTCTCTTAAAAAGTTCTATAAATAACAAGAAAATAGTTTTTAAAGTTAAAGAGTAACGTTCTGTAAGTTTTGTTTCTTCTGTAAGTTCCGATATCTTCATGCTTATCATTGTGTTGAAACCATAACAGCATCAGCATGTAGCAAATCCTATAAAAATTCTATATAAAAACCCATCTCTGCCAAAACTTTTAAGACTTCTTCAGCCAGAGGATTCCATTTAATAATGACAACTTTTGCCACAGATTTTTCCATAAAGAGCTCAAGAAATCAACTTTTTGCATTTTACACACCTCAAGTGTCTGCAACAATAAGGCAGAGGAGAGAAACCGAGAAATATAAAAAGGGAAAAAGAGAGATGAAGGCTAAAGAACAGGTAAAGTTAGGTGGTGGGGAGGTGCGGCAAGGTGTGGGAGGTAAGACTGGAGGCTAGAGAATGAGAGAAGTAGAGAAGTAGAGAAGGAGGTACGGAGGTAAGGCATTCATTACAGCAATTGAAATGGACAAAAGCCAAAAATTCCAGGCAGGGCTGAAAAGACGATGGTGATGATGACGATGACAACGGATTGTGCAAGCAGTAGAGAAAGTTGAAAAAGGTATAATAAAATGTTTGCATATAAAATATTAAATAAAAGACGCAATGAAGGAGTGTACACTGCAGGGAGGATATAGCAGTGCGAGGTAACGACTCTTCTGCTCCTTCTCTCTCACACTCTCTCTCTCTCTCTCTCTCTCTAAATAGAACGCAACGAAATGAGCGAGCAGCAACAACAAAATGACGGCCGGCCAGGTGAGTGCCAGGTGAGGCTCAGGCCCAGGCCCAGGCACAGGCCCAGGATCCAAGGCAAAATGCTCAACGAATAAGTAAATAAAAACGAAGACCCCCCCACCCCCACCCGCTACCAACCAACTGAATGCTATGTAAATCCCACTGTATGTGGGTGTGTGTGTGTGCGTGTGCCTGGAACTTCATGATGAGCAAAACGAGTACCGTTAGTGGGCGTATCAAACAGGCAGGGGAAATGCGTCTGCGCTGCTCTAGCAGCCATATTTTCCATGTGCGGCCAATCCGGGTGGGTGTGGCCACACACACTGAACCGGTCCGGTCACGCAAGTCACTTGATTAGCCCCGACATTTTGTAACTGTTACGCGCTCTCTCTCTCTCTCTCTCTGTCTCTCTTTGGCCCTGCTCTCTCTTGCGCTGAAACGCAACAGGCAAAACCACCCGCACAGCTGCCGCCTCGCTCGCACTTGTAGAGTTGCAATGGGAGAGCAAAATACCGTAAGGTTATGCATCGGAATTTCCATACCACTCGAAATATGAACTTTACATTAGAGCCAGAGCCCATAAACCGGCTTTTGCTTTTGTTTCGCAGGAAAAACAAAAAAAAACAACAACAATTAGCAACAATTTGCGCTAATCTACGTAAAGGAAACGTAAACGGTTTTTGTGACAGCTACATATAAATTCTGTGGAAATTTCCGTGTGTACTGTCAAATTAATTCGCCATGGCCACGCCACGCCACACCACGCCACACCACTCAGTCGAGTACATCGGAACTCTTGAGTGTTCAGAATATTGGAAAAGCGCACAGTTTCCAAGTGTTTCATTAATTTCGCACGACTGCACTGCAATTGTTCGTGGATTTTCTGGCGGTGTACGTGTACTGCTGTGGCACACGCTTCCATTACCTGTCTGCTCTGCCCTGATCTGCTCTGCTCTGCTGTCAAAAAGTTTGCACAAAGGCCTCAAAGATATAACCTTATGAAAAACGTTTGCCAAAAAATGAAATGAAAATTTCCGCTATTTATTTGTGTTCCTTCGCCCGTTATGAATTAAGTGTCCTCCTCCTGCAACCACACACACAATGCATCGTATGCATCGTGCATTCTCTTTTGTAGTTGCGAATCCCTTTGTGGGGGTTCGCTTTTGAGCGGGAAAACAAAATTAAAATAGCCAAAAATGGAAACAAACAATATGGGGGATAGCGGATAAAGGTGTGCTTGCTGTCCATTTTTATTGAAACGAAAAACTGATGAAAAATAATCACATTTTCTTTGTTAAATTCGAAATAAGGGCGCCAAAGATGTCCAGCCATGAAGAAGAAGAGGCATGCAACTCAGAGCTTGACGTTTTTGTGGCCTTTGGTCACACTAAGCTTTTGCGATATTTAACATTCGCTTGACCTTTTCAAATCTCACATCACTATTAAAAGAGCACGAATATAAATCTTTTAATTACAGGAAATGTATCATAATTAATTCTAATTATCAATTTTATTTACTAGAGTTTAACTAATTAAAGCATCTAATTATTTTTTTGAATCAATTCTGAGCTTTCTCCGACGACTATGGTCCAGTAGGCCTGGAGAATTTTACAAGTTCTCCTTAAACTGCACAAAATTGTCAGTCCAGAAGTCATTCATTTCTGGTATTAGTAACTTCAAGAGGGAGAAAAATACTTTTTTTTTAAAGAAATTTCTGAAGCAGAATAATGGATGTCTGGCAGTACAAGCCATCGAAGATCAGCATCAGACGCATCTGGTCAGCTACTCTCATTCTGGGCTCTATGCTCTGCCGCTTTGGAGTTTTGCGCATCGAAAAATTGGAATTCAACAGCAAGGAAGTGCTCAGCGGTGGACAGTTGTGGCGATGTGTCACCGCGCTGTTTGTGTACCCCATCAACAGACTGTTCCTCGTCAACATTGGCCTTTTGCATTATTACAGCGGCATAATGGAGAGATATTGCTACAGACACAGACCAGCCGAATATCTGTATCTACTAATCATTACAGCCATTTTCACAAATGTCGCTGGGTTGCTGTTTCGTGTCAAGTACCTAACGGACATAATGATTGTATCCATTGGCTTAATCTCGAATATTGTGCGCAAGAAATCGACTTGGGGTCTGTGGATTACATTTCTATAGTAAGTGGTGGATAATCCTAACATATGCAGGCACAATTTATATTCCCTCTTCTTTATGCAGTTCCCGAGACAATTTAATTGCTTATGTCATTGCCCATGTCTACTATTTTCTCAAATATCAATACCCTGTAGAGCTTGGCGGAATGGAATTGCTGAAAACACCTCAAATCCTGTAAGTTTTCCAGACTTTCTTATGGCTTTTCCTAACAATACTCTGTGCTTTCAGGGAACGTTTGCTCCACTACAAAAGCAGTCCAATAGGCTTATATGAATTTGGCGTTCCCCCGAATGTTCCATCACCATTTCCCCATCGCCGCCACCAGCATCGTATCCATCGCCGCCACCACCATCGTATCCATCCCCGCCACCAACTTCGTATTCATCACCACCGTATTCTTGTTCCCAATGATTGTATGCATTTATGGCCATTATTCATTGTAACTTCATTACAGTTGGTATTTTCGTGATACACGGTCACACTTCATACTCGCGATATTTGGCATACACCATGAAATATTTCGTAATATCGATGTATGCAACTATTGATGTTATTTTAAAAATACATGTATTCTGGGAATAAAGGGGACTACAGGCAGGCTCCGGCTTTTACTTTTGCGTTTCACGTTTTCAGCCAAAAGGCGCTCCGTCATTCGCAAAAGTGTCGTTTATTTCCCCCAGCTCATGCAAAACGCCTCTGTTAAGTTTAACAGTGATTTATCGATAGCCAAATTTAGACAGCTGTTCGAACGAAATCATTTTTTTTTGTTGCATAGGCCAAGGTTGGTTTAAATAAAAATTATTTATAAAAAGGGCACAAGCTCATAAATATTATATTGTAAGTAAAGAGGAGGATCGATCTACAAGGAGCCTTTACAAACAGTACTATTTTCCGCGGTTTGGCAAAGGGTGCACAACTTTTTAAATAGAGGGGTGTTAAGTGGGTTAAGTACCAATAACTTGACCAGCAACAATGACGTCACATTGGGTCAACGTTTTATGCTTTGGCCGTTTTTGTTTGAACCATTTTATGTAAACAATGCAAAGTAAAAGAGTTCTGAAAACTAGCCAATCCTGAACTGAATTTATTCAGCAATTGGACAAAATTTCTTTTTTAGGGCTTTGAGGGACAACTAGCTAGTAATATTAAACTGAATATCAAAATCATGGAATACGATTTCAATCAATAAATCTATTGTACGTTAACCCTTTGTCGACCAGGGGGGTATTTAATATTTCCACTAAATTTATGTAACTTTAACTTATTTCACACATTACAGGTGAAAGATGTCGGTGGTCATTTTTGTTTTGTAAGTAAAGAGTAGAATGGAGCTACAAGGAGCCCTTACAAACAGTTTTATTTTCCGCGGCTTAAAAAAGGGTGCTCAACTTTTTAAATAGAGGGGTGCTAAGTGGGTTAAGACTCGTTTGATCGCCGGATTGCCCTGTTTTTTTTATGGTATTTAATGGTATTTATTTTTTGGCCGGATGGTATTTTTATCGTTATCGGAACAAACACCACGTAAAGCAACAGCAAATCTTTCGAAATAAATGCAAAATCATATGAAAAACATTGTAATAAATTAACTAAAATCAAAATCACATCATAATGGACGCTGGCCAATGGTACCGGTCGCTGCCGCGCTTCACCCGCTACTGGCTGACGGCAACGGTGGTGCTCAGCCTGCTCTGCCGCTTTGACCTGCTATCGCTCTCGGCTCTGCATCTGGACCGATCGAAGGTCTTTGGCAGCCTGCAGCTATGGCGATGTGTCACCTCGCTGTTTGTGTTCCCCATCACACCGAACACGGCCTTCCATTTTCTCATCAACTGCTACTTCATTGTGCAGTACAGCACCAGGCTGGAGAAGGATCAGTACTCGCGCAGTCCCTCCGACTACCTGTATCTGCTCATCGTGACAGCAGTGCTGGCCAACGTAGGTGGGCTGCTGTTTAAGGTCAGCTTCCTCATGGACATGATGGTGATGGCGGTGACGTACATTTGGTGCCAGCTAAACAAAGATGTGACAGTCAGCTTTTGGTTTGGCAGTCGCTTTAAAGCCATCTATTTGCCCTGGGTGCTGGCTGCATTTGAGTTTATATTCAAGTTGTAAGTTATCTACAGACTATATCTGCAGTGGGGGCGCTCTATAACCTATTTACTTGCAGCTCTCTTGCCTCGTTATTGGGCATTTTCAATGGCCATGTCTACTTTTTCCTCAAATTCCAATATTCCCAGGAGCTGGGCGGCAATGCGCTGCTGGAGACGCCGCAGTTCCTGTAAGTTATAAGTGGGGAAACTCACCAGCAACAAGATTAATTTTGATTTTTCTTGCAGGAAACGCCTGGTGCCCGACACTTCTGGCGGGTTTGGTGGCTTTGGCGTGCCACCGGAGAGCAGAGCGCCACCGCGTGCACCCGAAAATCCCTGGGGCAGGGGCATGACTTTGGGTCGCAACTAGGTACACAGACACATCCACCATATAGATCCCAATTTTTGGTTAGCATTTTTTGTAACAAACTAAGTCCAAAAACCTGATCTTTTTCCAATCATCGCTCGATTCTACAGCCGCAGCAGCAGCAGCAATAAGTAAAAATATTGTTAAGTGGGGAGGATTATTATTGTGCATAAAAAATGAAATTATATATATGTAGATATATTTAAATATATCCATTACAAAAAAAAAGCAATCAATAGTTTGTTGTTTTTTTTTTTGTTACATTTAAATTTATTTCGGTTTAAAATTTCTATGCTAAAAATTGTACAGCGACACGCAAATTGTTCAACAATATAATTTTTTTTCTTTTTATTTTTAATATTAATTTACTTATTACTCTTTTGCTCTGTGTGGAGGGAGAGAAGAGTTTTTTTCCTTTTTTTTTTTTTTGTTCTTAAGTTTATATTTTTTCTCTTTTTTTTTGTTGCGGGTTGGTTTTCTTAGGGGTTTTATCTCCATTTTTCGTTTTGGTCTAAAAGTTACAACATTTTCTTATGACAAAAGATCGACCCATAAAATACTTAATATCTAGCATTTCTTGATGTTGTTTTGTTGTTGTTGTTGTGTGTTTGGGGCTTGAATTCCTTCAAAAAGCTGTGTCCCAACCACTTCTAAATGGAACTACGGGTCTGTGGGGGGACAATCTATACATTTGTATATATTTATATTTATGCATTATACAGGGCAGGGGCATTGTTTGCATTTTCGACATTCGAATGATCTACTCATATTTTTTTTTATTTACATTTCGTGTGTGGGGAAGCAGGGAGAGGGGTCGTCTAGGCTCTATAATCTCATACAACAAATTAAGAATTAATTCTTTCTTTTTCCTTCTGAACATTGAAACAATTTTTACTTTCCATTCTTACTGGCTGCGGCTGCTGCTGTTGTTGTTTGTTGTTGTTGTTATTTAGCGTGTATTTTCGATAGTAAACTTAAAGAACTAAACTAAAATGAAATTATGCTAGGCAAAAAAGATGTTTTAGGGGGTGGGGGGCTTGCTGGGACTGTGTGTGGTTGGTTGATGATGGGTGAGGTGAGGGTTGAATGAATCGTAGACTCTATGTACAATCTATACAAAATACAAGTTAAGGGTTCTGTTCTGTTCTGTTCTGCAGGGAGTAGGAATACCCGGCAAAAAAGGATTTTAGACGTCAATGGCAATGGGGCCCTATGTACAGGATAGAGAGAGAGAGTAAGAAAGGGGGGGAGGGAGAGGTTTAAAATATATTTATAAACGTAAAAAGAAAACCTTCCTTTAACTATATACGATAGATAATGTTTAGAACGAATTGGGTTTTGGGGATATTTCTAAAAATGATTTTGGCCATTTAAAACGTTTGTTTTGCTTTTCTCTTTGCTTTCCATTCAAGTTAAGAAAATTGTGTATACGGTAATCTTGCACTTTGCCCCAAAAGACACGAGATAATCTAAGAGACACATCTCGACATTGAGACTAAGGACTGAAAAAAAACTAAACCTAATTCAAACCGATTCCGATTCCGACTGCTGCTGTGCGTTCCTCTCCAACTCCGTTTAATAATGATTTGACAGGCAGGCTAGGCTGCGCCTCTACAGTGTGCTGGCCAGTGGCTGTTGCTCCATTTGCTGTTGCTGCTGCTGCTTCGTCTTTAGCTGCTGTGGATGTCCCCCCTGCGAAACGATGGCTGCCTTCAGGGACGTCTCTGGGGATATGTTGCTGGTGCTCTCAATCTCAATGGGCTGCTCTAGATCCATGTCCACATACTCGATGGCGCTGTCATCCTCTGGATGCAGTTCAATGACTTCAAAAAAGTAAACATACAAAAAAGGATAAGCACATGTCTGGGCTTTAGGGGGGAGAGCACCCAAGGAATAGGGATTTCATTCGTTACTCCCAACTCACTGCGATTGTTGAGCTCCAGCGTGTCGTGTTCCTGTTCCGTTTCCACTTCCACAGCCACCATATCATCATCATCATCCACATCGAGATCCTCGATAATGACATCATCATCGAGACTCTGCTTGGAAGAACCCGTTGTGTTCACCGTCTTGGTGGCCGCTTGGTCCAGCTCCATTTCCCAGTCGGTGGCATTCAGCACCACCAGTGGCCCGGATTTCACCTTCGTCTCCGTCGTCGTCGACGTTCCATTATCAGCCACAATGATGGGCATATTGATGATGTCGATGGGCGTGTCCTCTGTAATCAGTTGATTCGGTTTGGGCTTCGCGGAGCTGCTGCCACTGCTGCTGCTGCTGCTGCTGCTGCCGGTGAGAAGATTGGGCGAGCCTGAGGCTGCCGTTGGCGAGACGATTGAGGCCGAGGTGGAGGCACCAATCACCAGCACACTCGGCTTGGGCTTGGTACTCAGCGTCACGGCACGCATCCCGCTCGCCGCACTGGCCGGCAGGAATACCAAATTGTTTTTGCCCCCAGCGCCAGTGGAAAATGTCAGTGTGGTGGGCTTTGTCGTCAGCTTGGCACTGCTCGAGGATGTTCCGCTGCCGCTGCTCACAGTTAACGTGTTGGTGCTGCTGCTGATCGCCGCACTGGACATCACTTGCGTGGGCGCTGGCAGTATCTGCATCTTCTGTATGCTGATCCTCTGATGCGGTGAGCTGGGCGCTCCCGTTGGCGAGAGTGAGGCCGTGGCCACTGTCGTTGTCGTACCGCCGCCACCCGTCACATTGTTCAGCTTGTGGATGATGCTGCCCGCGGGCAGTTTGCCGGGCTGCAGGAACACCTTGCCATTGGGCGAACAGATCTTGATGTTGCGCAACGCGCTGCTGTGCACCTGCTTGATGTTGAGGGCACTGCCCGTCCCTGTGCCGCTCGTCAGTTTGATGTTTCCCAGTATCTGTGGGCCGCCTGTGGCGGAGCTGGCAGTGCCCGTGACCGTGCCCGCCGCCTTGAGGGTCACACTGCCCGGCGGCAGCTGTTGCGGCTGAGATGTGGCCTTGGCCCGAAAGATGGGCGTGCCCGTTGCCGTGGGCGTTGCCAGTGGTGTGATCAGCGTATTGTTCAAGCTGCTGGCCGGTATATTCTTGATAATATTCACCGTGGAGGCGCTGCTCAGGGGCGTCACTGTCCCCCGCGGCTGCTCCTTGAGATTGCTGGACATGGCCTGCGGCGAGGACGGAGTGGCTCCCGTCGCATCCGTCGTGTAGGGCAGCAGCCGCACTGCCGAACTGGGCAGGCTCTTGGGCTTGGCCTCAAGCTGTGTGCCGTCCAGGAAATTAATCTTCTTCGGCGTCAGCTTGGTGCCGGGTGGGAGTAGGGTGGTGGTGGTGCTGCTGCTGCTGCTGCTCAGAGCAGGTCCCAGGGCAGGTCGCAGCTTGGCGCCCATGGGCGGTGCCGGTATCTGCTGGACGCTGATGATTTGCGGCGCCAACGGGAGATTGGCCGTCGAGATGGGCATGGGTAATGTGGGCGTCAAGGGTAATGGGGGCCCCGCTGCTGTTTCCTCCAAAATGAACTTCTTGACGGGCGTGGACAGCTGTCCGGAGCTGCTGTGGCTCTGCACCTGCACCTGTACGGGCATCACACTCGGCTGCAGTTTCTCTTTAAAGACAATTGGCGAGTTGGCAAAGCCCCGACTGGTCGCACCGGGCGTTGTGGGTGAACCCATCTCTGATGTCGGGCCATAGACGACTCTGGTGGCTGGCAGCGGCTTCAGTTTGTTCAGGAAGCCCGTGGGTGGCGACACCGTCATTGTGGGCGATGGCGTTGCTATGGGCGTGGACGTTGGTGTCGCTGTGGCGGCACCCAGCGACTTGAGTGCCTCGTCCAGGATGTATTCCACGTGGGGTTGCACCACCAAATGATTGCCCATCGCCTCCGGTACGGGCAATAATACTTTTAGTTGCTGCTGCTGCTGTTGCTGGTGTTGCTGGATCTTCTGTTGTTGCTGCTGCTGCAATTGCTTCTGTGCCCGTCGTCCGCTTTTGGCCGGTGCTGCCACTCGCTTCGCAGAGTCTGAGGAGGCTGCCGCTGCTGCCGCTCTACCCGCCGCTATGGCACCGGGATAGGGCCCCAAGCTGTTGGCCAAATTCCGCTTGCTGGCCAGCCGCTGCTTGTGCTTCTGTTGCTGCTGGTAGAAGAAGCGCTGCTGCTGCGTCCTTGGACTGGGTCGCGGTTCCACTGGCACCATTTCACCGTCCTCTGGGCCACTCAGCTGTACGGGTAGCTGGCCCAGCAGCTGCATATGTTGCTGCTGCTGCTGGTGCTGCTGGTGCAGATGATGTTGCTCCAGCTTGTCGTGCTGCTGCTGCTGCTGCTGTTGCATGTGTCGCTTCTTGTTGGGCTTGGCATCGATGCCCTCGTTCTCCTTGCGCTTCTGTATGGCCTTCTTCACCTCGTTGGGCACATCGGGTACTTTGAACTGCGGGAGGGGGATAAAGGACATAGATTAATATTAAAATAAAATATTATTAAAATCCTAAATTTCTTATAGATTACAAATTTAATTACATCCAGCCAACTGTTAAATCTCCAGCAATAACTTTTACAACAGCTGTCGTATAATTTCATGAAAAATGTCAAATTTACCAACAAAATAAACCACAAAAAACAAATATTGCATTTAATGCCCAAAATCGACCTATAGCAGCTCTAAAAATCTTATTAATTCATTCAAAAATCGATTTAAATCTAAAAAACTGTTTTAACAGTTCCAGGCATAACATAACATAACAAAACGGCTGACTGCTAACAGTGTCATGTTAACTTGTAACATGTCCAATTGGACCTGGAAGATATCTCCACTTAAAACCCGACTCCCCATCATGCTAGACAATTAAATGAAACCAGGAGATAATTCCAATGATAATGCTGCTAAGGAAGACTCCACACGTGCACCCAGCGCCCAGCAACCAAGACGCGGATTAAACGACGACAAATGCCAGCGGCTGCGGCCCAGGCAGACTGTACTTTCACTGCCCCCGCGCGCGCACACAAGCAGCATGCAGAAGCAGAGGCAAATCGCCACATCGGTGGCTAGGGGGATTATATAATGCTCTCTCTCTCTCTCTCACCGGTTCATCCATGATCACTAGCGTCGGCTCCTGGGCCCTGTTCCGGCCATGCTTCAGGGCCATCAGGTTGGCCTGGTCGATGAGGGCATCGGCATAGTGGGCACCCGTTTCAGCGGGCGGCAATAGTTTCGCGTTCTCCAGACACGCCTTCGCCGCCAGATCGTTGGCCACAATGCTGAGCGCCGTTTGGGGACTGATGCGCGGCAGCAGCGGATACGGACGACGGCCCTCGCGAGACCATTCCTGCCAGGTGTTCGGACCGCAGACACTGCGAGATACACACACGCACGGGAGTGACACGAAACGAAACGAGGTTGGGATTAAAAAATTGGCATTATTTTTGCACTGGGTTTTGTTGCTCCACTGCCACTTACTTTTCGGCTATGGTGCAGAGTTGTTCATCGTTGACGGCACGCCGCACTTCCGCCCGATGACGCTCCGGAGTTATGTGAAAAAGTTGGCGCAGTTCCTCCAGCATTTTGCCCTTCGGTTCGCTCAGCGAGCCTTGCGCGCGAAAAACGCTTATTATATGCGAGTAGGATTCAAGCTCTAAGCGAATGAAAGGCAAGAGAACACATTAGAGTAGATTCACTGGGCGTCTGGCTAGATAACTAGCCATGATGCGAGCGCCGCTTGCTCCTGGTTGTGGCGATGAGCCTCTGCTGCCTTCCACACTTACCAAGTCGACGCAGCATGCCTCGGCATTCGTCCCGCGACATTTCCAACGTTTGTGGCCACATTGTGCACGTTGTTTTGCACACCGTATGCTAAATGCACTCCAAGCCGTTGGATATCAGTGTGAATCCGTGGTTATTAGCTTAAATCAAAGGGTTTTCGCGAATTAAAACAAACTCTTCAGGCAGTTGTCAAACCAAAGAGGGCACTATCGATAGTATCGATATTTTGCTGCTAGCCTCTACTATCGATGGTTTTGAGACTATCATGATAGTATCGAGCTACAGTCGTTGCGCTTTTGATATGTTTGGATTGGCTGCTATAAAATACGAAGACAAATTTGTAAACAAATCGACAGGTGGCATCTAGTTTTTACAACGGACAAGTTCCTAAAAGGTTTCAATGGTTTTTTAATTATTATTTGAGCCCAATACTATTACGATAGTATCGATTGTTTTTTTCAAAACATTCAACGTTGATATTCCTCGATTTTGATATTCCGTTTAATATTACTAGATAGTTGGCCCTCTCAGTCGTAAAAAAATAATTTTATCCGATAGATACATAAATTTTCTACAAGATTGGTAAGTTTTCAGAAGTCTTTTTAATTGGATTATTTACATATTAAGGTTCAAACAAAAACAACATAAAACGAATGTGACGTCGTTTTTGTGGCGCTGCCAGACTCGTGCAATTCGTAGTTACTGCGGGCTACCATGCCATGCCATGATATTTTGTGATATGAAATTCGTCAATTTTGATATTCAGTTTAATATTACTAGATAGCTGGCCTTCTCAACCTTTCAGAACAATGCTGCCTATTCATTTCCCCATGCTGCTGAAATTTTTCCCATACATATCAAATGTATCTTTCGGGAATGCGTAGGAACGTCGCAACAATGAATCTACGTTCCATACGTTTAAATTCAAAATGTTGCTAGGACATTTTTATGTTGCTCGGCCACCATGCTGTAGAAATCTGTTTTGAAGACAGTGGCAGGGTAAGACACGGCGAGCTGATACAAATTATTATCGTCGAAATTTAAAAAATGATTATTATTTCCCGTAAGTTACATGTGGTTCACACCACGAAAAAGAGGGGAAAGTCACCACAAAAATGCTCTCTTCCCCGCGAAAAAGAGAGGACATTATGAAAAACCACCACGAATTGAGAGCGTGAGAGCAGCCGTGATTGGTTCGCTAACACTGAACTCTGACGATACTAATCGGCAGTCCATGTGGTGTGACCATTAAATGTGTTAAAAACATTTGCGGTAGATGGCGTAGCTATCAGTGGCGTAGGACACAGGACATTTTTTTTTTTAGACTTTTCCTGAGTTTTTAACATCAAATTTAGTCGTCTCCAGCAGTGTCTTAATGGATCAGGGGGTACAATCTGTTTGAAGTATTTTATTTAATGATTTTAGGTATAGTTTTACCTTTTGCACAACCATACATCTTTAGCGCCAAAATTTGATATTTAACCTACAAGTTATTGTTGTTTTTGGTGGTGATAGTTTCGCTGATAGTTGGAAAAGTGCAAAAATGTGCTGTTAAGCGCAGAAGCCAATAAGGCAAAAAGGCCCTATGCCTCACCTATGTAAAAAAAAAAACTGCGTCTCCGGCAAGACGCAAAGAAGCACTTCGCAGCGCCAGTGTAAGCAGTGTAAGAACTCAACCGTAGTGTAAACAGGTTATTAAATCATCGGCAAGTATTGCCGTATTCTGTCTAGTATTTTTACAAAATACTGCAATTATTCGGGATATCGATAGCAAACAGCTGCTTTTGTCGCATCAAACAATAATCACATAGCTGGAAAATTATGCAAAAAAAATAATGCGGCTTTGGTGTAAACGGCTCGCATAATTTTTCGGCACCTACGACAATGATGCGGCAGTGTAAAAATCGTATTAGTGCCAGCTCATACAAAAAGGCCTCTATTATATTTAACAGAGTTTTATCGATAGCCAAATCGGGCTGCCACAGCTGTTCGAACAAAATCACTTTTTTTTTTTGTTGCATAGACCAAGTTTTAAATAAAAATTATTTATAAAAAGGGTTCAAGCTTAATTGCAATGGTAGTCACATTTATGTCCATGCATCAATAATTATAAAATAAATAATTACTTTTCTTTTCGGCGAGGAATTGCCTGCCGTTTTGAAAACGGAAAATTTTTGCGGTAGCGCGCGTAACTTTTCGTTTTCAAAAGTAAATCGGACCTGAACATATATATATATATTGTAGAATTTTATTTATTTAATGGTTTGGGTCTGAGTTGAGTTTAACTAGTGTCGTTGGCTAAGACTTATTATCACTGATACTGATATCTTCATTCGATACGATAGTTTACATGCACAGGTAGCTGGTTTCACTTAATTCTAAGTAACAGCAACAGATTTACTTATTTACAAATTGGAAATGCAAGACTCTAGCACACAAAGAAAAACACAGCTTTCGTATATTTAAACGTTCCATTGTTACAGCTCTCTCAATTCCAGAGCTTCGTTGGCGTCCTTGGCCTGCATGGTGGGAGGCAACAACAATAAGTTAAAAGTGAGAAATGCACACAGGTGTGTGTTTCGGACTCGCTCACCGTTTTGAACCAAATCGACGACATAAAGTTGATACGATTCCACAAACTCATCTCCGAGGGCGGATATATGCCATGCAAATGCAGATGCTTCACCGAGATGAATGGCGGGATGTGAAATCCAATAATCGCCTGCGAAGGGTCCACATTCTTCGACTTGAGCAGCTCGACCATGCCCGATTCCATCCGCAGCACTGATGGATATCAACAAACACATACATACGCACATGAATACATTATAAGCATACAATACATGTCTGTATGTATATGCTTCAAACAAGATATTGGCTGGGACGTGGCTGACTTACCAAGTCCAATGTGGGATCTGTTCAGAACATTGAAGCTATCAAAGTGCTGCTTGGGTATGGCCAGATAGTGGAACGTTGCCGCAGGACTCTTATCCTTGAATATGACGTATTCGTCGGTTTGAACCTCCAGCACGGGCGGCGGGCCTTGTCTTCCGTTGGCAAAATCACAAAATAAACATTGCTCCTGAGACCCGGCTGCTGCGGTTGGGCTATTTTTTCCGCAATTGTAGACTGCGATTAGGCCGAGCAGGCCCAGTCCTGCGAGCGCGGCAAAGATTGTTTTCTTGCGTTTAAACAGGCTCAGGCCGTCTCCCTGCATGGTGTCGTAGAAAATATAGCTGGAATTTTCGGATTTCTGGTTCTTTAAAGTCTGGTTTCACTGCTCGTGGGCCGTAACAGCTGTCAATTTGTGCCATTCACAGTTGCTAGCACGCACAATGTATAATCAACATTTGGTTAACATTAAACAACTAATTTCCCAATGAACACTCAATCAACAAACAATAACGATGTTGTTCCGCTCAGCCAAAAACAAATTCGAGACTGTGGATGTGATGCGCCGGCTGAAGCGTCTGGCCGAAGGCACCCTCTCCTCGTATCGCCGTTTGTTTCTGCTGCTCCTCTGCGTGTGCACAGTGTTCTATATGCTGCCGCCGATCTTTCGTTATATATTTCTAAGTGCACCGGAGCAGAAGGGTAATCGCAATCCACTTGGGCCGTTCCTTGAGTGCCAATAGCTAACCAGCATTTGTCTTTGACAGATCCCCATAGCATGTGCATGGACGACCGTCTGACACCGTACATACTGCAGAACTATGAGTTCGATGCCAACATTCGTCACGTGTCGCCATCGAAGCTGCCGGGCGAACGCGATTTCACGCCCTACATTGGCAACGGCTACATCGGACTGGAGATAGCCCACGATGCGTCGCTGAACATCAAGCACGGACGTGCCATGCAGCTGCCCATCCGCTTCCAGCCGATTGTGTCCGTGGCACAGCCGGGTGTGGGCGTCGAGAAGGAGTCCACCGTTGTCGAGTATCTGACGGGCATGGTGCATCGGTTTCAGTGCTTCGCGGGCTACTTTGCGTCCTACACCTACTATGCACATCGCACGCAGCCCAATATCCTCGTGCAGGAGCTGCAAATCACCAACACCCGCAACATGATCGAGGACGTGGAGCTGATAATGCCGCGCGTTAGCCTGCCCAGGCTATCGCAGCGCACCCTGAAGCTGAGGTTACCGTCTGTCTTCGATTGGCCGCTCGCATTTCTCTGACTTGTGTGTTGTGTTGTTCCTCTTTTGCAGTGAGCCAGCATCCGCGGGCATGGTGGCCTACAACGAGCTGGAGGTGCTGACGGGCGTTGTGCAACCGGTGCCAGAGGATCCCAGTAAATTGATTGTCGTGAGCATTGTGAAGCCCCAGCTGGATGCCAAGTTGCAGGTGCGCAAGCGGGGCACAGTCCGCATTGTGTATCCCATTGCGATCCACTACTCCAAGACAGTGGCCGAGGCGCAGCTGAAGGCCACCATCGAGGCCAACGAGCAGCAGGCCACGCAGGCCATGATAAAACTCCTGCAGAAACTGGGCTCAAAGGCGACCAATACGGGCTCGGCGTACAGCATCAATACCTATCGCCAGGAGCATATCGACGTGTGGGCGGATCTCTGGGCCACCGGCTTCACGATAAGCACATCCAAGGCGGAGCACAGCCTGAACGGCGATCGCATCAATGCCACCATGTACGCGGTGCTTTCGCAGGTGCGCTGCTTCGAGTTCGAGGAAATGGGCACTGCCGTCACCACGGCCAAAAAGGAGGACATAGCCAAGGCCCTAACCTATGCGGAGGGCTGCTACGATTCCTATCACACGCTGCAGGCGGAGAATCTGTGGCGCGAAATGTCCAGCCTGCAGCAGCTCAACTCGCTGGTGTCTTCCTGGATGCTGACGCTCGAGAAGCAGGGCTGCCACAATCTCATACGTGCGGGCGCCTCCGGTGTCATACAGGCCATGGTCTTGAGCTTTGGCAGCTTTCGCTTTAGCAATCAGCACCTGGAGTGCAACATACATCCCAAGTTCCTGCACAGAGACTTCCACTTTCGACGCCTCAACTATGGCAACAAGACGCATGTAAATGTCACCATCATTGTGAAGGACGACAATAAAGCGATCATTAACGTGGCCTTGGATCGCTCCGATCGCAGTTACTATGCCTGCGATGGCGGCTGTCTGGATGAGCCCGTGCTGCTCACGTAAATATCTTTCAACCTTTGACCCTATTGATTGCTTAACTGTGTGTTTTCTGTTGCAGCCAAAGCCGTCGACACTTCCCAGTTAAACTGACTGAACCCCTAACAGCAATACTATACATAACCGAGGACAAACAGCACATGGAGGAGCTGCATCATGCCATACATGTCAAGGAAGTGGTTGAGGGTAAGCTCCCCCCCCCCAGCTATGCTTTATGGTAGGGGAAAATCATTATACCTGTATTCTGTATTCCATTTATAGCTCCCGCCCATGAACAGCATTTGATTGCTTTGCACAAGCATGGCCATCAATTGGGTGGACTGCCGACGCTCTTCTGGGTATCGGTGTGTGCAATAATTATAGTATTTCATATATTCCTGTGTAAGCTTATAATCAAGGAGTATTGCGAACCAAGCGATAAGTTAAGGTATCGTTATAACAAACCGTGATCCTAGTTGTATATATATATATATATATATATATAGGTATATATTTTTTGGGACAGTGTGTGGCATATGCTAGTAACAAATACAAATCAAAATCAAAATACCATAAAATCCCCATTCGAGTACGAAATTAAAGAACAGAACACACAAATCTCGTTATTTCCATTAACATTTAAAATGCTTTACTTTAATCCAAAAGGCAGATCTTTTAGCTTATTTACAAAGAGTTATCTATAGAGAGAGAGCGAGAGTGTGTGTGTGTGTGTGTGTGTGAGAAAATGCAATTAGTTTGACTAAAAAAATTCACAATTTAAATTTCGTTTTGTTTGGTGCCGCCGCGTACAGGTGCCGATCGATAAGTAGCTCCATTGAAAACTCCCCACTCCCCAGCTTAGGTGCGCATATCTACTTGGTTACCTTGTGTATGCTCTCGGCCAGATAATCCACATTCTTGCTGGACACACCCGCCATCGAAATGCGACCATCCTGGGTCATATAGACGCTGTACTCCTTGGCCAGCTTGGTGACCTGTTCGGGCTTCAGTCCCGTGTAGCAGAACATGCCAATCTGATTGACAATGTGCTCCCAGCTGCGGCTGGAGCCGAGCTTCTTGAGGTTCTCCCGCAGCGCGCAGCGCGCATCAATGATGCGATCGGCCATCTGCTTGACATCCACCAGCCACTGTTTGCGCAGATCATCGTTGTTCAGAATTTCGGCCGCGATGCGTGCCCCGTGGATGGGCGGGCTCGAGTACAAGCCACGAATGATAATCTTCACCTGCGACATGACACGTGCCGCCTCCTCCTCATCGGTGCAGATAACGGAGAAGGCGCCCGCACGCTCGCCATACAGACCCATGTTCTTGGCAAAGCTCTGCGCCAGGCAGAAGTCATGACCATCGGCTTCGAAGATGCGCACCGCCTGCGCATCACGATCCACATCGCCGGAGGCAAAGCCCTGATAGGCAAAGTCAATGAACGGATAGAGCTTGCGCTCCTTCACCACCTTGGAGATCTCGCGCCACTGCTCTGCCGAGGGATCCACGCCAGTGGGATTGTGGGCGCAGGCATGCAGCAGCACAATGGCTCCCTCGGGTATTTTCTGGAATAACACACATCAAATATAGAGCATCTCTATGGGGTTCCGGCTTCGCTGCGACTCACCTTCAGATCCTCGATCATGCCACTGAAGTCCAGATCGCAGCTGGCGGGATTGTAGTAGCGGTAACGCTTCACGGACAGTCCGCTGTGCTCGAAAATGGGCACATGGTTGCCCCAGGTGGGATTGGGCATGTACACATCGCGGCAGCCCGTCCAGAAGCGGCTCAGGAAGGCGGCACCCACACGCAGAGCGCCCGTGCCACTGATTGTCTGGGTGGTGACATTATGCTTGGCCTGCAGCCGCTTCGAGTCCTTGCCCAAGGCCAGCTCGATGGCTTTGTTGTAGAACTCGGGAAAGCCAATGATCGGAGCATATTCCTTGTCCAAGCCGCGTTCGACCACACGCTTTTCGGCCTATCAAATTATATATGGAAAAGGTATTGGTATTGGTTGAGTGGTTCTCTTGGTTATTGTCTGGACTCACCTCCCGCACACTGGGCAGCACGAATGGCTTGGTGTTGTCATCGCGATAGGCACCAACGCCCACATTCATCTTCTTGGGATTCTGATCCCGCTTGAAGGCCTCTGTTACGCCCAAAATGGCATCGGGTGGACCCATTTTCACTTCCGTGAACCATGATGATCTGCAGGAGAGCAAAAGAGTGTGTAGAAATGAAAGGAGTTGCTCAAAGATCTTTCCAATATCTTTGCTTTGCTTTCGTTTGTGTTCCATTAACCTTTAGCCCCCCCTAATGTGTTCTTATCTTTCCCCAAGAGTTAATTGAAGAGATTAGCGAACTCTGCTTGGTGGGCTATCTGCCACTTGAATTTATCATTTGGGTTTCATGACTAAAGTTTGAAAGTCATCTAAAGGTTTACTTGGATCTAGCACCCGCTCTTCGCACACCTAATGGGGGGTCGGGTAACAGTTCTCTTATCACATTGGCGCCGCTGTAAACAAGCTCCAACCGAGCCCCACCCAAATGCGAGCACGAACAGATGCATAGATCTCACGTTGCCTGCGTCAGTGATAAGGTCAGGTCCCTCTGCTGACGTATTCGCTTTTGTCACATTTTATGCAGAATGCCAGGAAGTTCTCAAAGTTAATTAAAATTCTTTCAATTATGGAAGCCGCCTGCCCTATCACTCGCTTTCGATTGTGTTGATAAATACACAGAAGGAAGTTTCCGGCTGCAGTTCGATAAAACAAACTTTTCTCATAAAAGCCCAAGAGGCAGGTACGGTACCATAAAAATCAAAGCACGCGACCAAAGCGTGATATGTCCACAGACCACCCTGCGAAACTTGTGTGTGTGCGGCATATCAGTGCCAGTGGAGGCTTGGCATTGGCTTACCCCACTTTACAGTCGCTGGAGCACAGCCGTCTCAATAGAAGCAATGAATTTTGCATTATGATACAAGCAATTTTAGTATAAAATATATAACTTAAGTGTGACGTAAAAAACTAAAGGTATGGTTGCCATAGAACTTCATACAAATCACAAACAAATAAATGGGAATATCTTTCGATTAAGAAGATATTAATTTTTTTTTTTAATTATTCAGAAAACTAACAAAATTAAAATTTAAAAAAATAAAAATAGTTTATCCGAAAAATTACAAGTTAAAAGATATTTTGAATGTTTAAATTAAAAACAAAATATATATTTAGTTTGTATTTTTGTAATACAGAAATATAAACGAAAAGCCTATAAAAATTCCTTTTTTGATTTTCTTATTCGTGCAAACAGTTTCTGAATATTATTTAGGGCATCTACAAGTCGTTGGGTTTCATGCTATTCAAACATTTGCTTTTGGAATGTTCTTTCAAGCGGGAAGAAAAAATAGAAATACAACAAAAAAAGGAACCCATTGAACGTCATGAAATTAGCTTTAAAATTAAATACATATCCATCCGTTCATTATGATAAATTCACACATAAAAAATATATATTTTAGACACTTATAGTATTATGTAGAGAAAGCTCTATAGAGGAACAGCTGCACGTACTTTTAACTCTTTGAAATTACTTTCGAAAAGTTTGAAACTTTTCGGCAACCCATGGATGTAAAAGTGCCATCGATTTCGTCAGAAATCTCTGCTATAAATAATCACAGTTCTCTCTACAGAGCTGCTACTGTACCATCTACCTCAGTAGATCCCAAACATATGCAAATATTAGCAAGAAATTGCCACAACGCGATAAGAACAGCTGAGACAGTCTGCCATAAATCAGCATGAAATGATGAAATTCAAGCCCCTTGCTCTCGCACACGCAGACAGGCCCATTTCCAGTTTCTCCGTCCCTCATGGCTGACATAATGAAATCAGCCTCAAAAAAACACACTCAGAATTCGCATTTCCACACAAATTGCAGCAGTAATTGAACACAAAAAACATCACTGGAGACCCACCGACCGACCGACCGACCGACCGACCGACCGACCGGCAACTGCAATGAATGACCTTGACAGATGACACTGCGCCGCTGCAATCTGCAACGTGGTTGTGCTATTACTGCAAAAACAACAACAACAATCCCTTTTCTCTCTCTCTCGCTCCCTTATCTCTTTTACTTACTTGCAACGCAAGGCAGCAGCCGCCGAGGGTGCCACACGGTTGCTCAACAGCAAACTGTGCTTACAGATCTGCGACATGTTTGCTTTAAATGCACAAAATAAATGTACTGTATTTCCTCGTAATAATTATGAGCGGAAAATGCCGGCAAACGGTAGAGCGACCGATGGATTTCAGGTGAATACTAAACTAGTCGCAGAAGCTACGTGAAATGTGACCGCATGGGGAACGACAAGATAGCTCTAAAAGCTTAAATATAAAAAGCTTACCAATGACACACAAAATACTCGTATATTCGCGACACAAAGTTGATTGTTTACGCATCTGGCAGCTTCACCAAAAGCTTTGAATTTCAGTCGTTCTTTAAATAATCTGCTAGAGTTTTACTACTAAAATTCGCTTATGGTTCCTATTGAGTTGAGAGAAACCACTTTATAAAATAAGAAGCGGGCTAGAGACCCACGGGCATGTCTTTGAACATAGCTGGAATCATTGGCCGCTCGGTGTTGAAGAACTCTTGCCACCATTTAGGAACTGAGTCGGTTTGAAAAGCGGCTTGAATCCAATTTCATTCTATATGATCAAGATATATATGCCATTAGCGCCTTGAATGTTTCTATAATCTATAATCCTATCTGTTTACTGCTTAGAACCATCATTTGGGTTCTTGGAACCATATTTAAATAAATACATAAATCAATTCAAAGAATCAAAAAATTATTCCAAGTTTCAATTCTTCCTTATTTGGGCTTTAGAGTTTACCCAATTAAATAAATTAAATTCCTTGGGCAGTAGCATGCTTGGAATAAATATTCTCTTGGAAATTACCTATAGTTTTCTAGTCAAATTTCTGGGTACCCTTGTTCGAACGATCAAATAATAGCGAAACTTTGTATATCTTTTTGTAAATAGAAATTCTGTATTTTTAAATTCAAATCAAAATAAATTGAAATAGACTCTGTTCCATAGTTTTGGAATCTTATCTTACAAAGTTTAAGATCACATCAAAAAATAACTGTGACTGTGCTTAAAAGACTCTAGTACTACTCGTATAATCTTCCCTCCTATCGCCACAAGTCCATCTCGCTCCCGGTGAAAGCTTTCTTCGCACAGCTGTTCGGTTCGCGTATTCTTGGAGCTTTGTCTGTGCTGTTTTCGTTATTGATATTCTTTCGCTTTTGGTTTCTTGTAAGATTTGTCGAGCTTAGCGATTTCAGTAGATTCGTAGCCGTCCGCGGGGTTGAAAAACGAAAAAAATAAAAAGCCAAACAGAAAAAGTCTTGCGCTCGATAAACGTGGATTTACCTTGTAATTGAATAAAGCAGAGGAAAAAAAGCATAAAGCGAAAATTGAAAAAATGCTGAGATTTGCTGTAATTGCCTGTCTGCTGGTGGCCTTCGTCCAGGGCCTGGAGTTCAGCGATTGCGGCTCGAAGACGGGCAAGTTCACCCGTGTTGTCATCGAGGGCTGTGACACAACCAAATCGGAATGCATCCTCAAGCGCAACACCACGGTGTCCTTCTCGATAGACATTACCCTGGCGGAGGAGGCCACCGCCGTCAAGACTGTCGTCCATGGCAAGGTACTGGGCATTGAGATGCCCTTCCCGCTGGCCAATCCCAATGCCTGTGTGAACAGCGGCCTCAAGTGCCCCCTGGAGAAGGGGGCATCGTATCGCTACACGGCCACCCTGCCCGTGCTCAGGACCTATCCGAAGGTCTCCGTGCTGGTCAAGTGGGAGCTGCAGGATCAGAACAGCGAAGACATCATTTGTGTGGAGATACCCGCCAAGATCCAGTAGATCCATCTCGCTGATCCACGGGATCGTCGCTCTGCAATTATTGGAACATGAAGAGCGGCGAGCGCGAGCGCGAGCGGAAGCCGCCCCCCAAGTTCAGCCTGTCTGTAGTCTCTCTCTCTCCCCTCTTCCTTATTGTAATCTAATTTAAAATAAAGAAAAATACAAAAAACACAACAACAAATTAACTAACTTTTGTGTGTGTGAGTCACACAGGCCCTGTGCCTGTGTCTATATATATCCGTGTGTGCCAGTGTGAGTATGTTCTCGGGCTAGGCCTTTTATTATTATTTCCTTTGTTCGCTTCTGATTGCATCTTCCGCTTTCTGCTGCCTCCGGTCATCCATCAGTCGAGCGGGGGAGGGCAGGCACGCTACAGATAGTGAGATTCGAGCAAAAGTCAAATGTTACATTAACAGAGGAATGTTAATGGCATGTTAACTGTGACGGTTGGACGGCTGCTACAATCTTCACCGTTGCAAAAGCTGACCAGTATGTCTACCCTAGGGTTGAGAAGGGTCCCATTATTTGGATCAGAAGCTGGCGACGCAGAAAGGGTAGGTTTTTCGTTCTTCTAAATTGTATGAGCTTATATTTCTATGCAAAAAAGTTGATTAATTTCGAAGCTCGGAAAAATAGTGCTTTATGTGTGTATGTAAAATCGTATGGTATATATTTTATTTACTATTACGCTTGGTTTTTTACTTTAAGGATTGTAAGAAAAATGAAATTTACAAAAATTGAAATCACTTTAAATTTACTCAAATTAATAATTTTTGAGAGCCTTTGCTCCTTATTAATTTTCGACTGACTGCATACTTGGATGCAAAACAGACAATTGCTGATGGGCAACATATGGTTTATGATCGAGTTCGGGTACACCTAATGGAAGTGCTACTGTACCGATCTGGATAATCATTTCTTTCCTCACCTTCAGCAGTAATTGGGTACAACGCTGAACAACACACAGAACAGATTGTTTATGAACGAGTACGCGTACACCTAGAAGTTCCACTGCATCAATTAGAGTTTCAAAGTCATTCCTCGTTGTCAACTGGATATGTTGATTCATTGATGGAAAACAGACAACTGGTGGGGCAGAAAACCGACAACTGTTGGGGCAGAAAACAGGCAACTGCTAGGGGTATGAATGGCTTTATATGGAAGTATTAGAAGTGCTGCTGTACTGATCAGCAATTGGATTGGTTCCTTTGCTGGATATATCGTTGGAAACCAGACATTTGTGTCTGGTTGTTTGGGAAAGAGTACGCCGTACAGCCAACAGAAGTGCTACCGTATCAAAAACATTGCTCATCAGTGGTTTGGCTTACGGTTTCGGTATCCCTTACGTATTCTGTTCTTTATTTATTACTGATAAATAAGACTAGGGCAATTTTGAATTGACTTTTGGCACACGTATCGTTGTCCGATTACGAATCACTAGCATTGTTTTCACAGTTCTCCTCAGTCCCCCCTGTGTGTCAGAGATAATGAGTAAGAGCTTTGAAAAAAATACTCATCGGTGGCCTGGCTCTCGGCTTTCGGTTTCGCTTACGTATTCCGTTCTTCGGCACAAAGAATGGAACTGGGGAGCTGATAAGACGCGGAAAGAAAACAACTGCAAAATCATAGGAGGAGTAGATAGTGAAGCGAGGCAACCTGAAGGGGGTCTTTGGGGATAGCAGCTGCAACCAAGTAAAAACACAAATCAACTGCAGAAGCAGCCAGAAGCAGAAGCAGCAGCAGCACCCAGAAGCAGCAGCAGCAGCAGCGCTTTCCATTTCGTTTTCTCAATTTCCATTCCTTTTTCCGCCAAAGCACACCCACACACACCCACACACACATTCGTGCATATACCATATGGCAAAATGCAAATAATGCAAAGGCTGAGCGAACCGGATGACGTATGGGAATAAGGGTAGGGCTATGGGTGGACGTAGGGGGGGCGGGGCCCTCGGTGCAGATAGAATTATCCGCAGTGCGCCAGGCAAAAGCGAAGGCGGCGGCGGACGAGTAGGATATTTAAGCAAAAGAAATCGGTTTATTACATTCACTTTGCCCCACGAATTGCATGAAATGCAATGCAGATTCTGATTCCCATGCCCCTGCCACGGGTCTATTCAGTTAATCAGTTGTTGCACTCCCCCAGATACATTCTGAACAGCTTAAGGTTGACTTGAATGCTTTATTTTTATTTGGGTTTGGGATTGATTGAGATTTGAACTGTGATCGGTGTGTGTGGCGGTGTATTTTGACTTGTAAGAAGAATTTAGGAAAGAAAACGGATTGGAAGAACATAAGAAGGTGGCAAGAAAACAAGACAGAATTATTAGTTATTATTTATATACGATAAGAGGATTAGAGGGTTAGACTTAATATTAATTAAATTAATTAATACACGAAGAAGTTTTGGTATTAATAAATCTCTCACTGCTGGCTAAAACTAGTTTAGTTATTAAACAACTCAAGTAATAAACAACGTTTAACTTTAGCTTTAAAAAATATAGTCTTAAATTATATGTAACACAACTGCGGCATTTTCTTTGCTAAGACTTCAATTTTATTTTTGCTCTTCCGGTTAGGGCCTTCAGAAGTCCACTTCCTATTTGTGGGAATCTTCTACGCCAGTACCCCTGATGTTTTCACTTGATTTACATATGAATCCGCATAAAGCATACGACAGTCCGAAACTCCAAAGAAATGTGGGCCAAGCCCCCAATCTGCCCCTCGAGGCACCAGTCCCAGCCCCCACACACTCCCTCTGTAGACACAGCTGACGTTTAAAAACTTGACACAACGCGGCGGGGAAAGAATACAGGAAAAGATGAGGATGAGGAGGTGGAGTAGAAAGTGGAGGGAAAATACACAGAAAAAATAAAATGGAAAAATGAAAAGAAAAAGTATATGTAGGCGGATATAGCCATGTCTCGTGCTGCTGCTGCTGCTGCTGTTGCTGCTGCTTCTGATGGTGGCACTGCCTCCATCTCTGGCTGCATATCATATGAGGAGTCAACCCGTGCATCAGTAGAACCACCAACACCAACCCCAACCCCACCCCACCCATGCGCCCACAACTTGCTTTGCTGTCACACCCCCTTGTAAGCCGCTGTGTCTGCACAGAATTTCTTGCATAAATAGCAGCATGTGCAGAGATCCCGTTTTGAAAATGAAAATAGCCAAGTAAAAAGTCTACACACAGTCAACACTCGCACTGTTGGATACCCAATACACCTCAAAGACAAAGCGAGAATTTTCGATTCCTCAAACCAACACAAATAAAATGCGTGAACAAAATTGAATGCAACAAAGTGAAATTTCAGTTGTCGGCTGCCTTAAGATTCATACGGGAAGGCGGCCGAGCTTAGAGTGCCTTTTAAGCGCTGTCTTGTGGCTTTTAAACAATCTTTTTATAGAGCCTGAGGTCCCGTTTAAGAGCCAAGCTGAAAAAAATTCGCTTACCCAGGAAATGTATGGGCGTGGTTCCCTTTTTTATGCGATCCCTTGTCCAAAGTTCATTGAACGTCTTTATTTTGTCAATTTTTCTACGTCTTATGGAGATTGTGTACTCGATTAATCGACATAAATAAATGTCTTTTGTGAAATCAGAATCACCTGAGTCCACTTTAAGCCCACTTCTGCTTTATTTCAACATACCCTTCAGACACCACAAGTGCCAGGTATCAGCCATTTCGTGTCTCTTTTGCTGCATTTAAGAGTTAAATGCAACATGCAGGCCCAAGCCCAAGCCACTGCTGACCTACCCTCAGCCTCACCCACAAAAAAAAAACCGCACACTTTTGGCCAGGAATCGAATGTTAATGTTATATGAACAATTTTCGTTTCCGTGCGGTTTGCCAGCGTAAATAAATTCGAGCTGCAGCGGCGCTGGCCATGTCCCTTTTTTGGCCTTTACCACAGAGCGAGTTTTCTTGTTTTTAAGTTCCGTTAATTGCCAGTTTTCCACTTTGCGGACCTCTCAGGCTACTCAGGGCACTCCAAGCAAGAAGGCAGTTGCTCTGCCGCTGACAGTCTGCTTAACTTTTGTTTGCGTTTTTTTTTTGTTCCTGGTTTATATCCATTTTTTAATAATAATTTTGACCCATCTAAATGACAACTTTTTGTTTTGTTTTGGAAGGGCTTTTAGTGGTCGAAACTTTAGAGTTTTTTTTTGTCTGTTTAGAGATATGTTTGGGTTTGTGCGGGACACAATTTGTTTGATTAATTGTTAAAGTTGGAAATTTGTTTGTGGCACATGTCGTTAGAGGATTTTTTTTTAAAATAATTATAGCAGAAGTTCTGTTAGAAGTTTGAACTACTTTTTTTTTGGAGATGCTTTGATGGTTTTGATGGGGACAAGAGTTTACTGATTAAAGTTTTTTTTCTGATTAAAGTTATTACGATCAGGGTTTGGAGAAGGAACTATATAACAAATATTTCATCGCTGTAATATTCAGCAGATATGCAGACAATAGATATGGCATTTATTGCACATATTTTCCAACAGATTCCCAGTAATTAATTTGAATATTTGATTATTTTTGGCTATTCATGACAGCTTGATGTGAGTCTCAGCAACGCTGGTCTCAACGCTTTCAACGATCATTTATAGCATATTATTATATTATACATATATTATAATTATATTATATATTTTAATATCATATTATAATCGCAAGGAATAAGCCGATAAATCATTCCATTTCTGTACTGTACAAAAATTTCAAAACTTTGTTTCTGCATTTAGGCGCACATTAAGAAAAGATTTTTTGTACATCTCTCAGATTTCAAATGTCCCATATATGCCCGAATATTATTCATAGTAGATAGACAGACACTCTTAAGTACTGGCTGATCAAAATTGCATTCATCTGCGTACATTTTAATGGTTTTTTTTTTTGCCTGCTTCATGGCAGTTTTTACTGCAACAGAGGGGGTGTAGGGGGTGATTTTTTTGTTGGCTTTGGTTTTTGTTTGGTTGCAGGAGTCTGCTGCGGTTTGGAATATTTAAATAAATCGCATTCACTGTCAGTTTTGGCTTGCAGTTATCTTAATTATTTGCATGTGGCCTTTGGACAGTCCGTTGTTAACAACATGGAAATTCATTGAAAGCCATAACTACATATAAGCGAGTTTTTCATAGGGACCAAAAAGTGTCACGCCCTTCACTGGCCCCC